AAAATTAGAAGAATCAAAGACCAAGGCTACATCACGCACTTTACGTCTCTGATTCCCTAACGTTCTTTCCTCTTCTGTTGCCCTCATACAGACCCAGGTATTCCCTCCTCATCCTTTTCTCTGTTCAGCTAGCACTCCAGAGAGGGGTGATCTAAGGGAAGAGTGATACCTTTGTCACTAACCCACCACTGCTTACAAGAGCTCCCCTGACTGGCACAACCAACCCAAAACATAGTTAATATCTATCAAGAAAATTACTATATACAAACAGACAGATTATAACAAAACTGTCACTTTTTTTTTTTTTTAGAAATATTACCTTTATTGAATTCTAGAGCAGCTAATCTACCATTACCCTCCCCTGTTGAACAATGAAAATAAGAATGAAAGAAAATATATGAAGATTAAAGGAAGGGTCTACACCACTGTTGAAAATGTTGTAACAACTTTCACTGTACTGGTGAGGCAGTTACAACACTCTAAAGTATACAGTAATGATTCATTCTTGTTCAAAACAACGAGAAGTGATTGCATATGAGACTCTGAAATAAGTTTATTCACACTGATTGTGCCCTCTACTTTAGTAAGGTTCTGGCCTACACAGCCCTGTTCCCACCCTCTAAGCTCAACTTTGAAACATAGCAATTAACCCTAGAGAGGAGAGAGCAGGCTGGAATTGGGTGGCATGAACCACAATTCTGTAAAACCTAACAGGTTTTACTCAGTTACGCTGTACTATAAGAAAGAAGTTCCTTCTTTCCTTTTCTAGGGGCTGCTCCTTTGTCTTCTTTCAGCTAAACTCTTTCTATAGATTTATCACAGATGAGAAAAAGATTATTTTTTTGGATAGCAAACAAGCATTTGTGCTATCAACCAAAAAATGTAGACATGGAGGAGGACTTTTGCCTCATAATAGAATCCCTGCAGTGCAGACCAGATCAGTCGTAAAGCAAGGAGAGAACCTTCTGCAAAGCCACGGACAAGCAGCAGCTGGACCAGGGTCACTGAGGACACTTACAGGCTTATAAAGGGAAATGACCTTAACAGAAGACTACGTATGATAATGGAAACAATGTATTTCTCCACTGATATACAATACTGTGCGATGACTGAAAAAGATGGATTTTGGAGTAACAGCACACTTTCTGACATTAGCATTTCCAGATCATCTCTTCCCATCGTCTTCCTTGCTCCACCCCCAGGCTCTTCAACCACACGTGGTGTATCCAGATCACTACAATGGACTGATAATGTAAAAAGACAAGGAGACAGTGTCACAAGCCATGATGGGAGCCACCTACGTGTAAAAACTGTCACCTTTTTAACCTAGTTGACATAAAATATTTCCCAAATCACTGGCTAAAGGGTACCTGGCTCACCTGATCACATGTCCTGCAAGACTCAGGGTGCTGTCTGAATGCCAGGAATTAATTCTTCCCTTTGAGGCAGGTCCATCCACTCTGAGATCTGTTTACTCTGAAAAAGTGTGGTTCTTCTCCGAAGACCCTGGGACTGGGCCAACCCAGCTCTCAGACAGAAGTCTCAGGCAGTTAGAAATGGAGCTGACTCAACATCTAAAGCCATCAAGGGCTCATTTCTCATCAGCCCCTAAGGGGGTGGCAGGGCACCACCTTCACTGAAGTGCTTTGGATTCCTGAGTTTCCTGCTAATCATGCTCTTGGAAGGGACACAAGTCTCAAGCGCGCCTGCGCTTGCTTGCAGTGCGAAGGGAGCTGGTCCCGTGGTCTCTGATTGGAATGAGCTCAGCTTCTCAAAGGAGACCACTGGCCAGTTTCTCCATCATCACTGGTCCTTATCTCAGCAGCCCTTTCAAAGATACAAAGCATTCACTAAAGATGCTTCTTCATCGTCACACACACACATCCCTCTTCCTATATAGGAAATCAGGAAGGATATCTTCCTCGAATTTCCAATCAAGATGATATTCTGCAGACATGCTGCAGTGTTTTTCTTTCTTTCTTTTTTGAAAGCCCATCCCCTGCATCAATCCTAATGTGGTTGTTCGGAGTTTTGAATATGCTTTCTTGTCCCAATGCCACATACCACAGACACTTAAGTCACCCAGAATTTCTCTTCTACAGAAGTCCATGTATTGACTAATACCCACTGCAGAAAGGAGCCCTTCATCCGCAGCTGTCACTGCTCAGGTGGCAGATGCATCCCATAGAGGGCAGGGCTGACCACTCTCCCACCCTCTCTTGGAAAACAGCATTCCTGGGACATTGGTGTGCACTACATCCTTCCAGGCAGCAGCTGACAGTCCGCCCCAGGCTAGCTCATGACCTACATCTCAGGGCATGTGGGCTGCAGTGACCCCCAACCCTTAGCAGCTGCTTGAACTGCATCAGCTGGTGGTGTCTGGGCAGCGTGGATGACTCAGCGGCCAGTCTACCCAGTGCAAGAACCCTGACTTCCTGCAGCCAGAGCTCCAGAGCTCTCTATCAGTCCCAGATGATTCCTCATTTACTTCATTTTTTCCCCCAAAGTTCATGCGACCTTGGACCATTTACCACCATGCAGCCTTCCTTGCCCTGAATACTTTTCTTTATTGACCCATTATGAAGTTGGAGGACATTTCCCAAATCACAACCCAGGGTATCAGCTTCTCTGGCCACAGGAAATGGTGTAACTGAGAATGAACAGTGTGGCTAAAATTTCAGGACTGACGTGGAACCATAGGATTTGATCTCTGTTCCTATTCCAGCTCTGAATGAGCAGGTGGAGGAAAAGCCAGGTGGGCACCAGGAGAAGAAGAAGAAAACGTGTTTTGACTTTCATTTCTAGTTGTAGTAGTGAGTATCCAGATCAGAAACATAACCAGGTTCTCACGTCAGAGGGAGGGACAAGGGGTGGGAGATGGGTAGTGAGTATCACCCTTTGACTACCACCTCTGCTAGCTGAAGATCTTGCTCACATATTGCTTACCCTACTGCCATGTCTCTACTGTTTTTAACAACCACTGTGCCTATTCTGTATTGGTCATTCTGTGTTTGTCAATAGGGTGACATTTTTGAAGACTGCTTGAGAGGGGTGGTCACTTCCCCTGCTGCCCTCTGCCTTCAGCTAAGGTTTGTTCACAACCACCCAAGCCTGCCCTAACCAGGCAGAAGGCAGGCCTCGTCTAGAAGCATTTGAGCCCAGGCGGGGTGGCCCTCTGAGGGCACACTTGAGGGTTGGTTTTGCCATTTCTGATAAACAAATACCATAAATTCTCGGTAATGAGGGGTGTGTATTGGAAGGGAGGTTTAGGGAAAAGGGAGATAAGATGAGATTATGTCAGTGAATCTGCCTCAGTTTAAGGACTAAAAGGGCCAGATTGGGATGAAAAACAGAATTGAGAGAGTGTTTGTCCAACTTCAACAGAAATAAGCTCCAAACTATTTGACAAGAATCCAAAAACACCCTTTCCTCTCCAAAGATTTCTGCTCAACTCAAGGGTCTGGCCTAGAATGGGGAAGCTCCTCCTCTCCAGCCGATGACAAATGAATAAAAAGGATCCCAATCAGGGGAAAAAACACCCATAATTTCTCCAAAATTCTGACGTTTAGAGATTTGATCTATGGCTAATAGCAATTCTATCTTGCAATTTAAAATTCCTTTTGTTTACTGGAAAGTGATCAGCTGGTAGCCGAAAGGTGGGCGGTTGGAACCCACCAGCCACTCCATGGGACACAGATGTGGCAGTCAGCTTCCGTAAAAATTACAGCCTTGGAAACCCTATGGGGCAGTTCTACTCTGTCCTATAGGGTTGCTATGAGTCGGAATGATGATGAGGTTACATTAGTATTTGGAAGGGACGTTGACTATTTCATACCATTAGAAAGACATATAAAATGCCTACAGAATATCAAAACAAGAAGTCACGTAGGTAGACAAAAACTGGCAATTAGGCTTTTTTTGGATAAATAGACATAAAATCTGTATTTAACTTCCAACGGATAACAGCTTCCACATAAGTCCTAAATTCTGTCTAATTCTGGTCTAATACGGTTTAAGTGAAAACCAGCATGATAAATTATTCTTTTTAAAGTGTTTTCCCAAGGACTGACCTAATTAAAAAAAATCCTACCATTTTATTATGAATAAACTTCCCATAAATGAATGACATAATTATTGACTTGACTTTTCCTCCAAAGTGCAAAGCAAAAGGTTACCTACTACATTTGAATGTTGCATACTAAGTAAAAATTTTGTTACCTAGAAAATGTCATTCATCAGGAGACATGTGACCCTAAAACCAACCAAAACACTTTTTGCTGTGGCTGAATATGAAGGCTAATCGCGATCTCTAACAAGAAACCAATTCCAAGAAAAAATCAAATTAGCAGTCATTGTTCCTCTGGCTAAACCAGGAAATTGGGAACAGTATTTCAAACAACTGCTTCTGTTTCCTATTTTTCGTTTCTTTTTTAAATGCTGTTGAGTAATTGCTCATCTAATGAAGGGACACGGGAAATAAACTTACACATTACTTTAAACTGATTACTCTGGAATAGGGAATTTTTCCATTCCAGCAATCGCTCTTTAGAAAGGAGACAAATCTCTTGATCACATCAGATCCCACAATCTAAATGTTTATTGTTACAATATCACCTAAACGGTATGGGAGTGAAAGCTGAAGTGCAGTCCAAAACTGCATTTATCATTGATCGCCGTTCACTTTCATCCACAAGAAAGAAACAAAACACAATGTTGCCAAACATGACTTTCATTTTTGGCCATTTTCACCCCATTAATGGGTAAAGACCAAAGAGCATACTTATGCTTTCAGGAATGCAAATGAGTTTCCTGCAGTCAATGTTTTCCTTCATGTGCTCACGTGAAAATAAGAAGGGGTCAGCAGTAAACACAAAGATGATCACAAACTTTCTCATTTCTGAAATCCCCACAAATGCTCAACTCTCTGGCAGGCTTAAGATAGAAAACAAAAAACTTATATTGGCATAGTCAACTTTCAGGTTCTTTTTTAAGATACTTACAGTTAGATCATTGTAAGGATCACACCTCCGCCTGCACTCTGAACTGTGGCGTGGGCACTTTTCTCTCTCCCTTCCTGTACTTCTTTGTTGTTCGAGGGTAAATGAGTTACAGTAATAACCCTGCAAACATCCTGCCATGTGAGTAAGACATCACCTTAATGCAGACTTTTATATTTTGGTTTCTATGAAGGTTTAAAGGTTAAAGGCATCATAAATTATGCATTTCCTCCTATGCTGGGCCCATAAAAGATGCTTTCATTGTTCATTAAAGATATTGCTTCTAAATGGGCAGGGGCTATTTTTTTTTTTTTAAGTGCCGAAACAGAAACATTTCCAGTATGTTTATGTTCCATTGGCTATGCTGGAGAGCCAAAACAGTTTGAAATTTGGAAACTGCTAGAGTCTGTTGTTCCAGAATGTGTAGCAACTGTCAACATACACAGTTAAATTATGGTTCACTATTTGGATGGCAATACAGTAGAATACACTTGGCCAACATGCTGATCTCCTCCCAGGAGGGCAATTGTCTGGCAAACCCTGTATCACCAGCAACAGTTGGAGCTTTCCCCTCTGCCACTGCCCCAATTTACAGATCTGAATGGGGCAAGAGATTGGAGAGACCACCATAGACATTAGAGCATCCCTAACTCCTGCAGCTGAGCAAGTTCCATGGGGCTGGGGGGAGATTCTTGGATCAACTGCAGGAGGGCACATGTCCTTCCTAGTCCACACCCTGACTTCCTCATTTACGTTTTGCCACCTACAGCTCAAGTACAGTCCTAAGGGATTCTTTTTCTCCTTGCACATACTGCATCTGCAGAAGGCTAGGATCTTCTCCTCCAGGAAAACCACACCCATTCATCCCCTAGACTTGAGGAGCAAACTGTAGATCTGGCTGTATTGCCTCTCGCCAGCCTCCGGCCATGGGGACCAAAGAGCCTCAACCCTGCACCTGGTCTAGCTGTGATGGAAGACTCTGGACACAGACTGCCTGCTGTAAGGACCAGAGGTTCAGATATTCTTGCCAAGGTACAGCCTGTACAGCTTGGCAACTAAGTGATAAAGTTATTCCTTCCTTTTCTGCTGCAAAGCCCTTTCCTCTCCATCAACACGCACCCACGCGCGCGCGTACACGCACATACACTTAGAGCCTTCCTCTTTCAACTTACCAGTTTGGACTTAGCACGTTGTAAAAATTCTTCCATGTCGCTGGAAGAGGTTGGAGCCAGGGGTACCCGGAGGGGCGCAGGGGGAGCTCTCCGCCCGGGGTAGAGATGCGAGGTCGCGGGAAAGTGGCCCGCCTAGCGAAGCGGAGACACCGGCTGCTCCCTCCCGCCGCTCGGAGGCGGCTGAGGCTGTGGCTGCGCCCTCGGTGGTCTTGGCCCAGGGCTCCCCCGCCCTCCCCCCGCACGGCGCCCTACCGCCCTCTTGGGCGCCTGACTCTGCCCTAATAAGGAAAGTGGGTGTGCCTCCCGGGAGCCCCTGGGCGCGCCCCACACGCTTGCAGGCACGCGCCTCCAGGACCCGGGCGCGGGGGCCGGCGCGGAGGGGCGGGGGTGTTGGGCGATGGCGAGGGGTTCCTCGGCCAATCGCAGGGCCCGGCTTCGGCCTCCTGACGTGGCGCGCCGAAAGATGCTGCAACCGTGGACAGCGCCCAGAAGTGCGAGCCAAGTGCCAGGGGCTGCTGCAGAGGGAGGCTCTGCCGCCCGCCGGCACCGCTACTGTCAGCGAGGGGAGGTGGGAAGGGAGAGGGAGGGAAAACAGGCCCCGGGAGAGCCCCCTCCTCAGTCAGCGCCTCGCTGGCTGGCTGGCAGCTACAGAGAGCTCCAGCGGTCACTTAATGAGTTGGCTCTGCTGGGCTGGCCAGAGCATGTACTCAGTTGGGGGGCGGGGGGTGTATTACTGAGCTAAAAAGCCGTGCGACCTTGATGGAAAATAATCAGAAGAGCAGGCTGGGAGGTTGTGCTAGGCTGCTTGTTCCTCCCTATTCTCAAAACATAATTACCCAGCAATGGGAATCCACCGTTCACCCCAACTGAATGCCCTTATATTGGCCCTGGGGCTAATGCGTAGATACACCCTACTGCAGTCCCCATACACACTCTGACAAATACGCTCAGGAAAAGCTGGTGCAATGGAACCTTGCTACTCAAAGTGTGGTCCAAAGACCAGCAACATCAGCATCACAGAACATATTAGAAATGCAGACTCTCAGACCCCCGACTGAATAAGAGTTTGTGTTTTCTACAAGATCCTCAGACGATTTCTATGCATATTAAAATTTAAGAAGTACTGCAATAGACACTTAAATGTATAGCTATGAACCTTATTTAAGTCATGGAGTTCTGTTGTGTGTGCACACCAGCCCTAGGTCCCTAGATACACTGTACTAGGCTTTCACTTACATCTGAGCCTTTGCACGTCTGCCTGTAATACCCTTCTTGCCCTTTCCAGCCCCAATTGCCTTGCTAACTTATGCTTCAGCTACCAGCTTAGAAAAGTGTTCTCAAGCCTGATTGCACATTAAAATCACATTAGAACACCCTGGATTTTAAGAAATACTGATCCTCAGGCTCTGTCCCAGAGTAATTGAATCAGTACTGCTAGGGATGGAGCCACAGCATCAGTACAGTGTAAAAGTGATGCAAATGATTCTACTGTGCAGCCCAGGCGTGATCGACCATCTTAGAGCAATGGTTCCGAAACTTCAACATGTATTTGAATCACCTAGAGGGCTTGTTAAACACAGATTTCTGTGCCTCATCCCCAGAGGTTCAGGCTTAATAGGTTTGCAGTGGGTCTGAGAATTTGCATTTGTTACAATCTCCCAGGGGTAGTTGATGCTGCTGATCCAGGGACCACACTCAGACTGAATCAGTTGCCCTTTCTACATTCTTTCATAAAAACTTGTAATTTCTACCCTAATATAATTGGCCTGATTATTTGTCTGTGTCCTCTACCAGGCAATGAGGTCCATGAGTTGGAGTTGATTTGATGGTAACTAGAGAAGAAAAATTACATATATGTGTGTGTGTGTGTGTGTGTGTGTGTGTGTGTGTGTATGTATATGGCAGAGTGGTTAAGCACTCGGGGGCTAAACAAAAGGTCAGCAGTTCAAATCAACCAGTCACTCCTTGGAAACCCAATGGGGCAGTTCTACTCTGCCCTATAGGCGCTGAGTTGGAATCGACGCGACAGCAACAGGTTTGGGTTTATATATATATATATAAAGAAAAAAAACCATTGCCATCGAGTTAAGGGCTGGGATCCTAACATAGCTTATGTCATAACATACATATATGACATGAAACTATATATATATATATACACACACACAAGCATATGTATTTATGTATTTGAAGGTCCTAGGTAGCAAAAACTGTTTGCACTCAATTACTAACCTAAAGGTTGGAGGTTTGAACCTAGCCAGTGGTCCTGCGGAAGAAAGGCCTGGAGACTTGCTTCTGTAAAGATGACAGCAAAAAAAACCTTATGGAGTAGTTCTAGTCTGTAACACATGGGGTTGCCATGGGTCAGAATCAACTCGACAGCAATAGGTTTGGTTTTTGGTTTATATATACGTATATATATATAATCCATTGCTGTCAAGTCAATTCCAACTTACAGCAACATTTTAGGACAGAGTAGAACTGCCCCATTACAAGGCTGTAATCTTACAAGGCTGTAATCTTCACGGAAGTAGACTGCCACATCTTTCACCCTTGGATCAGCTGGTGGGTTCGAACAACCAAACCTTTGCTAGTTGCTGTCAAATCAACTCCAAGTCATGGTGACCCCCATGTGTGTCAGAAAAGAACTATGTTCCATAGGGTTTTCAATGGCTGAGTTTTTGGAAGCAGATCAGGTTTTTCTTCTGAGGTGCCTCTGGGTGGACTTGCAACTCCAAGTAGCCAAGTAAGGTAATCGTTTGCACCACACAAGGACTCTCTGTGTATCTCTGTCTCTGCCTCTCTTCTCTCTCTTTCACTTCTCTCTCTCTTTCTCTCTCTGTCTGTCTCATGATCCAATTATTTTTGATTCAGGGGTTCCAATGAAAAGAAATCAGCAGAGTCTACAGATGCGATTAAAGCAAAATAATACGAATACTAAACTCCAGGTTATATTCAGGTGATGAGCTGTGTAAAGCTACAGATTCTATCTGCTTTCTTTGCTGACTTAAGTAATTTTAAACCATCCAAGTAAAAAGTGTTCTTCAGCCTTTAAATCGGTGAAGTTGATCACAATTCAAGTAACATTACTAAGAAAAATTCCTGAAAATTCCTTACCCCTGACTCCATTAAGGAATTTAGTAACAACTGCACAATATTGTTTTATTTCAAGACTTTTCATTGTAAACACTCTGGGTAGGTATTATACAGCCTTGATTCTTTTTCCCCCTTGATGGACTCAAATTCCATCACCTACCTTTCCCAGTTTTTCTTCACCAACAACGCCCCTTCAAAACTTTGTCACTATTCACCTCCTCCATGAAGCCTTCCTGAAATGATGACCTGTATTAATTTTATATTGCTGCTGTAACAAATTGCTACAAACTCAGTGGCTTAAAACAATACAAATTTATTATATTACATTTTTGTAGGTCAGAAGTCCTACACAGGCCTCACTGGGGTACAATCAAGGTGTTAACAAGACTGTGCTCCTTCTCAAGACTCTAGGAGAGAATCCTTTTCTTTGCCTTGTCTAACTTGCAGAAGCTGCCCACATTCCTTGACTTGCCGCTCCCTTCTTCCGTCTTCAAAACTAGCAGTGTTGGATCTCTCTGACCCTTCTTATGTAGTCCCATCTCTCTTTGACTCTCTTCTTCTACCACCCTCTTTTACTTTTGAAGGATCCTTTCGGTTGCATTGTGCCCACCTGGGAAGTTCAGGAAAAACTATCTTCTGATTTGATGCCTTAATTCTATCTGCAATTTTAATTCCCCTGTTCCAGATAACATACCATATTCACAGGTCCTGAGGACTAGGACATGGACATCTTTGGGAGGCTGTTATTCTCCTTACCACCAACCCATACCTCAAGTTATTTGATGGAGATCAGCTTTTGATCCTCAGTTTGTTAATAACATCTTCTTCCATAGCAGCCAGGAGTCCGGGGCCTTTAGCTCTAGATCAGAAACCTTCAACCTTGGCTGTAGAGTGAACCAGCTAGGGGTCTTTGAAAATACTGATGCCCAAGCCTCACCTCCAGAAATCCTTAATTGAGTGGTCTTGAGAGGGGCCCACGCATCAGTGTTCTCAAAAAGCTCTCCAAGTAATTCTCTGTGTAGTCATAGTTAGGAACCATTGCTGATATAGATGAATTGTATTACCCCAGTCACCTAGGTGCAAAACCTGGAGTCCCCTTTGTTGAGGATTTCTGCATCAATGTTCATGAGTGATATTGGTCTGTAATTTTCTTTTTTTGTGGTGTCTTTACCTGGTTTTGGTATCAGGGTTATGCTGGCTTCATAGAATGAGTTTGGGAGTATTTCATCCTTTTCTATGCTCTAAAATACCTTTAGCAGTAGCAGTGTTAATTCTTCTCTAAAATTTTGGTAGAATTCTCCAGTGCAACCGTCTGGGCCAGGGCTTTTTTTGTTATCTCTTCTTTTGTTATGGGTTTATTTAGTTGTTCTACCTCTGTTTGTGTTAGTTTAGGTAGGTAGTGAGTTTCTAGAAATTTGTCCATTTCATCTAAGTTTTCAAATTTGTTAGAGTACAATTTTTCAAAGTATCCTGTTATAATCCTTTTAATTTCAGTTGACTCTGTTGTGATACCGCCCATCTAATTTCTTATTTGGGTTATTTGCTTCCTCTCCTGTTTTTCTTTTGTCAGTTTGGCCAGTGGTTTATTGATTTTGTAGATCTTTTCAAAGAACCAGCTTTTGGTCTCGTTAACTCTTTCAATTGTTTTTCTATTTTCTATTTCATTTAATTCTGCTCTAATTTTTATTATTTGCTTTCTTCCAGTGCCCGAGGGCTTCTTTTCCTGCTCTCTTTCTATTTGTTCAAGTTGTAGGGTTAATGTTTTGATTTTGGCCCTTTCTTCTTTTTGGATGTGTGCATTTATTGCTATAAATTGACTTCTGAGCACTGCCTTTGCTGTGTCCCAAAGGTTCTGGTAGGATGTGTTTTCATTCTCCTTTGAGTCTATGAATTTCTTTATTCCATCCTTAATTTCTTCTATAACCCAGTAGTTTTTGAGCAAGGTGTTGTTCAGTTTCCATGTGTTTGATTTTTTTTT